GCAAAAACCAGATAGCTGAATTGATGTATCGAGTTGGGGTTGCATAATGCTAGTATAATGTACAAAAGCCTAGCTGTGCAGGGGTCGACAAGTTCAGGTCTGTTTTTGCCGCATGTCTTGATAAAGTCATGCATTATAGCCAAAACAATGTTTCCCCTCTTAGAACTGAGGCATCCGTGATACGTCATCGCCTTATTTTCCCGAGAAAATAAAGACAAAAAAATGAATAAAGTAACTTGTCTTGGTGACGAGCTTTGGAGTTTTCAATGGAAAAAAAAATGAAAGATAGCAATTGAAACCTAGTTTCCACTTTGTTGGCCATTTTTTAAGTATTCTTTCAGGGAAGATAACTTGAACAAAATTCCATCGTTTTTGGCACTTCTACAAGCTGCAGCCGCTTTGTCATACAGCGATAACGCTTCCTTTTGCCATGTTTCTACTTCTTCTGCAATGTCAGCCACTTTCGTTTTGTCAAATACAATTTTGCTCTTGCAAATCAAGCGGAATGCGTCGGCGTAGTTATCCTCAAACTCAGTTTTCAAGTCTGGTTCCTCCAGCCTTTGAACACAGCGTTGTGCTACGTCAAGATCCGAAACACTGCTTGGACAAGGATCAAAACCGTTCTTTGAAAACCCAAGATGCAGAAGTGCTTTGTAAGCAAAAACGAATTTAAGATAAAAAGGACCTCTGGGAATGCTATCCAAGTTTCTCTCGCACATTTCAATAACCGAGTTCCAAACAGGGGTAAATCTCTCTTTCTTGCTTTCCAGTGAGCCGTCCTCGTTCAGCAAACATTCGACAATACGTATCTGGGAAATAATCTCTTCTTCTGGGCTCTCAATGGTCGACACAGCGCTACTTGCTTCCTCAGCCAAGGCCCTTGACTCGGAATGTTTTTGTTCGTACATCCGTTTCAAAGATTTTCTTGTCAGTGCCCTTGAAAAAATTCTCGAACTATTTTCTCCCGCTTTCCAAGCATTCTTAATAGTATCATTCAACAAACGCATGGCTTCTTCACTTTCTCCTTGAATGTTGTAACCATAGGCAAGTTCGATCTGCACAAAGAGCTTTGTTGTCCATTCTTGAACATTACAGAGAAAAATTTGCGACTGCCGTTTAAACTCTTCCCAGTCCAACTTATAAATAGCGTCAGTGAAAGTCCGCATGACGCGTTTGTAATGTTT